AGCCGTTTTCTAATTTTTTTACTTTCAATATTAAATCAAAAAACGAATGATCGAATGATACACGGATTCTCCTTAGACTTGCTTTTGTTTCGTCCGTTACTGCTCGCATCAGCAGTTGCATCAATGATAGTAATATTGTCAAAATAAAGAATTATTACCGGAACGAAAGGTATAAGGTATAATCTGATAAATCAAAAAACAAAAGGTTTTGACAACATTTAGGGGCAAGAACCGGCTGCACCACCGTCTGCGCAGAGCAGTTGACAGCTGCTTCGACGCTGTCATTTACACAGGAGCATGGCTCAGACCTGGGGTAACTTTTTATTCTCTCTACTCGATTACAAGACCGAGAAATTTGTCATCGCTAAAAACAAAAAGGTCGGAGTTCTGTTCAGACTCTTTCAGCTGGGGGTGATTGGATATCTGATCGGGTAGGTGCCTTGTGCTTTCTCTAAATCAAGACGTTGAGGTGAGCGAGCGGGGCTCGGTCAGTGTTTCGAAGATTGAATCTTCAAAGCACATATTATAATAGGTCATTAAGTGTTGGTTCGTGTTAAAATGGTTACTGTCAATGAATTTCAACAAACCGAATAAGTCGACAGTAAAAGCACCATGTCTCGGATGTTATTTATATCAAGGGAACGACTGAAAGCGTTTGACCTGCTGGTGTTCGGTTTGTAAGTTTTGCATGTAGTGAAAAAGACATTTTGTTTTGATTCAGATTAGTAGTCTCCATTTGGTCTATAGATGTACCAGAACCAGACAAAAACTTGATACCTTTGTCTTTTTAATTTTCAAATAGTGTTTAAGTGCAACAAAAGCTGCTGAATGTAAGATGACCTGGATCACGTGCTGTGGCCAAATGCTACACACAAAAGCACCAGCCTGATTTCCTAATTGCCCTTTAAAACTGTTTAATAGTCTTCCTTTGCAAGAAATAATTAATCTAGAACTTTAATGTAATGATATCTATAGATTATAACGTCCTTCAGGGTGTGTTGGCCATATATACTGTAGGATTTATAGGACATGAGACAGCATTGCTCTCTGTAGCTCGCACACAGATCCTCTTCTTTATACTCGAAATAACCAATAAAATGTCTTTTTATACTTTTCACAATCTAAGTTGTTATTTCTCACACTGTTTATTTTCTTTTGCTTGTGCATCTTCTTAAAGGTGGGTTTTTCTTTGGAAGAAAGGCTATCAGGAGACCGAGGAAGTCATCCAGAGTTCTGTGATCACCAAACTCAAGGGTGTAGATTTCACCAACAGCTCTCAGTCTGGTCTGCAGCTATGGGGTGCAGAGGACTATGTCATTCCCCCACAAGTAAATACACCTCTTTCCTGTATATTCGCTTTGGAAGAAATCTATTTGAAAACCACCTGTTAACAGTCTTTCTCAAAATCTCTGTTTTATGCATTTGATAATGTATATTCCTACAAATATTGACGTGACACACAACTTTTGCTTTGAATTTGAACACTAAACATTTAGTTTGTCAATTATGTTAATCATGTTACACAATGAAACATCTATTTTCGGTTATCTTCATATTAGTAGTACTCTAAATTAACAGCTTTCGGCCTTTTGTTAGATGACAGATTAAGATTGTTTAGAATGGAAGAAGTTTAAAGAAATAAAGACTGAAAAGAACCAAAAGCTTGTTGGTTCTGTGGAAAACAAGCTGAACAGTTAATTTGCTGTTTAAAATGTCTTTTGCAAGAACATGTCTTTATTTTTTAT